ATTTTTGCCCATAACTAACAAATCCTTCTTTGCCTCAATTTTCTCACACTTCCCACAAGACCTACTTTTATTTTCTTTGAGTTCTGGTTTATAGGCTTCCTTTTCCTTAGACACTTTCTTTACAGCTTCTGCATATGTTATTCCTTGCAGCGATCTCACTCGCTGCACCTCCATTGCCCTCTTGCTAGCTTCACATCCACGGTAGGCTGAACTGTGCTCCCCTCCACAGTTACAGCATTTCAGCTTTACTCCTTCTCCACATTCCCCATACTCATGCTCGCCTGAACACCTACCACATCTTTGTTTACCCTTACACACTGCTGCTACATGGCCATATCTTTGGCACTTAAAACATCTCAGTGGGGGAGGGATGTATGGCCTGACCTCATAGCTCATGTAACCTATGTATAACTTACTTGGAAGTCTTGCTTCATCAAACTTCATCATAACAGACAGGCTATCGCACTTCTCCCCGTTTCTGGTTGTTCTAAGGCGTTTTACCTCCAGCACTTTTGCCCCTGTTACATTGTCTCTGATTTGATCTTCTGTGATATTTACCGGTATTCCTGTGATAACTCCTCCAATCAACGCCTTATTTCCAATCAAGACGCACTTTATTCTCTTGCCATCTATTTTATTCAGTTCTATGGCTTTCTCTTGTTGCGTTTCATTCCTACAAAAAATCAGCAACGCTCCACTTCTTAATACTTTTGCATTTTTAACCTCGCCTAACAATTAGTTTATCGACTTTGTTAATTGAATCGGATTCCACTCACCAAATGACGACCCCTCCTGAGATAGTTTCATGATCACTTTATATTCTTCTTCTTGTTGTTTACGTGCTATTGTCATACTTTGTTTCATCTATATTAGATGTTACTTTCTCCTTTTTTTTCCGTTTTCTTGATCGCACTACATTCCAAACACTCCTATCTCTCCCGCCTTCTTCTTCAAATCCCATCTCACTTCCTGTCTCCTCACTTCCTTCCGCCATCTCCTGCCCAGTCACAGTCTAGCTGTTGCCAACCTCACAGATGTTTTCGGATCGTCCGTCGTTTTTCTCAGACGGGACACAGAATACTACTGCCGACTTACATGATTATGAACTCTCTCGCTCTTTAATGCTTTTGTGAATGTCACAGACTAACTGTGATCCAGGACGTTTATTTTGAAGGGACTGAGTATGGGCCTGTGCACAAACAAACTGTTTCTACACACGATATTGTATCACCCCATGAACTCAAGTTGGTAGTTTTACTGTTTTGTTGGTTTAGTGCTGTGGCTTGTTTGACTGTTTAATGTTCAAGTGATAAATTTTTTCAACATCATTACAAAATACTCTTTACATCAAGCTTTTATTTG